ATGTTTAGCAGTTTGAGGAACCTCCAAACAGTTTTCCATAGTGGTTGTACTAGTTTGCATTCCCACCAGCAGTGCAGGAGAGTTCCTTTTTCTCCACATCCTCGCCAACATTTTTTGTTGCTAGTTGTTTGAAGATGTGCCATTCTCACTGGGGTGAGGTGGTATCTCATTGTGGTTTTAATTTGCTTCAAACTAATTTAACTCATGTGTCTCGTGTTCCCAACTGGAAAGAAATTTTGTCTATAAAGTTGATGCACCCTTTACCTTATACAATATCCCACTTAAAAATTTATCTTAGGTTAGTGAGGAAAATAAATGTTTTATGTTTACCAGAGAACTAGTATTGAATCTTACATAGTCCTTTTGATGTAGTCTATGTGTGTGTGCGTGTGTATGAGCATGTGTGTGTGTATGTGGTGGGGGTATATGCACACGTATATGCACACATTAGAATGAAAGAAGAGTCCAAATTTATTCTAGGAATATATTTTAAACATTTTTAAAATGTGTCTTCATATTGCTGTAATTAAAAGTGCAAAAATCTAAAATTAATATACCTTAGGGAATAGCTACAACTCTGAAATTCTAAGTATCAATGTTCTATTTCATTTGTGTCAACTCAGTTATTTTGACTCATCTTCCACCTGTATAAAGGGTGGATCTCAAATTTCATTCCTTTTGTGCCTCCTGTTACCAAGGCCAATTAAAAGTTGACCTTTTTAAATAGTTAATAATAAAGACTTAATATCCAATGATAAACATTCTTGTAAAACCACCCCTGTTGATATAAACATTCCACCAAAAGCTAACATGAGCAAATTTCAACCATAACTAAATGGATGATTATGTGGTGAGCAATAGTTTTCTACATTAACTAGATTTAGCATGCATTAGTCATCAGGTAGTATAAAAGGTAACCATTTTATGTCTTAAATTATGAGTATGGGCTTTTAATGTAAAACAGCTTATAGTTCCCATGTTAAATCCCCATTGCAGGGATTGCCCAATGTCAACACTACTTTGGGCTAGATAATTCTTTGTTGTGAATGGCAGTCTTATATACACTAGGATTTTTGGAATATTTCTGTCTCTATCCACTATTTGCTAATATTTCTCTCTCTGAGTTGTAGCAATTAAAAAGGTCTTCTGAGTGTGGGAGAAAGAGAATCAACCCTACTTAAGAACCACTGACATGTAGGAATTTGAGAACCACCTTAAGTATAATTTATGATTTCATGTATACTCAGAAACTATGTCTTGGTACAATAAAACAAGTAAGAAAATGTATAACTTCTTACACAAAAGATTGAGATAGAATAGTAATGGAAAACTTTCTTTTCTTTTTATTTATTTTTTTAACTTATAAAAATTGGGATTGGCAGTTTTTTCTAATCTTCAACACTTATAGGAACCAAATTATTGATATACTGTAAGAGAGAAAATCTCTATCTGAATATTTTCATTATATATAACATGTGTCCCAACTGTAACATATTTCTAAAAGACAAAGAGGCATTATAGAAGCTCCTAAAATGTCCCAGGGAATTTCCTAGGAATTCATATTTCATATGCTATGAATCATTTCATATCAAATGAACACTTTCCATCTGCACATCTGGTCAAAAGGTGACCATGGCAACTAAGATACCAAGTACTCCAGGAACTCCTGAGTGGCTCCATTGCAATCAGATCATCCATTCCAACACTCCCAGCTTCTCCTAGGGTCATTTTGACCCAGGAAACAAGACATATGTTTCCAATCACTGGAAATGTGTGTGTGATCCTAACAGATTACTCCAGGAGCCTTGAAGTACTCCATCCCTGGACACTCATTTTAAAATTCAAGTCTTTTGAACAACCATTTAATGCATGTCCATTGGGCTAGAAATGTAGATTCAAAGATGGATATGATAGGGCCCTCACAGTCAAGGACACTTTAGTCTAGTGTAAACAATGTATAAGCACTCTAAGGAAGTCTGAAATACTAGCAATAGTATCTCATTTCAGCAAGCTGAGATATCTTTCTATGCTTAAAGGATGCCACAATTAGGATGAAGAATATTTTCCTCAAATAGATTGTCAGCCCACAAGAAGAAACAGAAATGCTGGGATTGTTTTGTAGGTCCCAGAATATGAAGAATTTTGCAAAGAATTTAAATAGACTTCATTCCTCATTTTTCAGATGCATTTACCCAATGATGTGAGAATTCCTTGCTATCTGCTTAACAAACAGAGAGTGAGAGATAACCATGTCAAAAATAGCCGCCTTTAATAACTGACATTGAATCTAGCCCAGCCCCCTTAATTTGTTATCCTCTTCAGCAACAGTGATTTGTTTCAAACTAAAAGGCAAGTCTAGTGTTTCACTTGCAATTCTGCTTCCACTTGTACCCTATAGTACATTTATCTTGGTTCAGAGTGACCTGACATATCTTGACATGCAACTGTGCCTTCACAAAATGTGAAATAGAGCTCTTACATACAGAATGTCCAGAATCCTGATGTAACATTAATTAGGATTTAAAAAGTCAGTAAAAACTGGTATTCTTTTTATGAACTGAAAAGCAAAGGCACAGACTAGGGACCTGGGATTTTATGGTGCAGAGAAATGGATTCTTCACATCAAATGAAGAAAAAGGAGTAAGAATTAAATGATATATGACACAGACATTTTATCTTACCCTATTTATTGTGTGTTGCAATAAAACCAATTAAAATATGTTCAAGACTGTTGAATTTTAAAATCCAACTTGCTTTTCATGGAATTAGCTCCTCAAGAAGCCAGGCAGAGAACTGAGTTCATTGGATATGGCTGTAACAGTCAGTTCTGACTGATTGTCACATGCGTATTTCTTGAGTGGTGGTCCGGTTGATGGACTTGAACCTAGCTGGCTACCCCTGGTGTGATGGTGTTAAATAACCATGTGCTGCATCTGAAGTTACATGGGGCCATACTTAAAGGAATTTTAGGTAGAAACACCATGTTTATAGTCTAGGGAACAGATAGAGTCATGTTCAGTTAGTGACTTTAAAATCTTTGAAAAGCCACTCTCATGAAGAAACACTGTGGCTCATTATACATTTACATTTAAATAGTTATATAAAAATAAATACATACAGATATGCATTTCTACATGCTTATTATGTATTATAAATAACTCTTTAAAAGGAAAAGATTTCATGAAATAATACTTATTACTTGAGTTGCACTCAAATATCTTCATCTCTTTTTCGTTTTTTTAAAATGCCATTTAAGCATGGCACAGGAACAAAAACAGACACACAGACCAATGGAATAGATTTGAGAGCCCAGAAATAAAACCACATATGTATGGACAACTAATCTATGACAAAGGAACAAAAATTATACTCTAGAAAAAAGAAAGTCTCTTAAATAAATACTTCTGGGAAAACTAGACTGCCACATGCACAAGAGTGAAATTAGACTATTATCTTGCATCCTACATGAAAAGCAGTTCAAAATGGATAAAAAGACTTGGGCATAAGACCTGAGACCATAAAATATACAGAAATAAACATAGGGAAAACATTCCATGATATAAACTTCCAAAATATCTTTGGAACTACATCAAAAAACAACTGGAATTATATCCAAAAAGTAACCAAACAAAGGGACACCCCACAGAGGGGAGAAAATATCTGCACATCATACACCTGACAAGGGACTGATAGCAAAGCTCTATAAAGAGCTTGTTCAACTCAACAAAAAGAAAATAAACAGTCCAATCAAAAAATGGATAGTAGAGCTAAATAGGTACTTCTCCAAAGAAAACATATAGGTAGTCAACAGGCATGTGAAAATCCTTTATCATTTACCATCAGGGAAGTGTAAATCAAAGCCACAATAGGATACTACCCTTCACCAGTGAGAATGGCTCATAATGAAAAAAAATTGAAACAACAGTGCTGATATGGGTGTGGGAATGTAGACTGGTCCAGCTCCTATGGAAAGCTGTGCTGCATTTCCTCAAAAGACAAAATGGATCTTCCATGTGAACCAGCAATGCCACTCCTAGGAATCTACCCAAAAAAAATAAAACACTAATTTGGAAAGAAACCTACATTCCTTGGCACTATTTATAATAGCCAAGAGATGGAAAAAAACTTAATGCACCAAGTCAGACAAATGAATCAAGAATATATGATGTGTGTACACAAAGGAATACTACTCAACATCAAAAAAGATAAATTCCTGCCAGTTGAGGCAACATGAAAGGAGTGGAAGAGATTATGCCTTCGCCTGAGCTCCGCTGATCCGAGTAAAAGTCACTGTTGATGTCATCTCCAGAGCTCAGTCATCCTCTCTTATAATTACCCTGACTGAGAAGAAGCATTGTGTACCCCATATGGTTTTACCAGTGTCCCTTTCCTCTGTACTCATTCAGCAATGATGTCCACTGCAATGGGAACAGAAACAACCTGGGAAACAATGTTCTTAGTCTTGTGCTTGTCAACACATCAGCCTCATGGGGCCAGATGCTATAGGGTAGCAGTGAGAAAGTATAGGCTGCAGACCATAGAGGTATTTGAAGCTGTTTCCAAAAGTTTCCACATCATGGGCAAGACATAGCCAGTATCTCATTTTTAAACACAGTAATTAATATATTGACTAGGTTGTAGCAGGTAACTATAATTTTTGATAAAAATGTAAACTAGTTAACTCTGAACAGAAAGCCCATTGGAATCTTAAGCTAAGCAAGCTCTATCAACCACAAGCAAGGTGCTCCTGCTACCTTTTGATAACATCCTAATTGCAGTTTCAAGTGTTGGGAAGGTAAGCCTACATTAAACTTAGAAAGTATAGTGTTACCATTGTAAATTCATGGGCAGTACATGATTTTCTGTATTTCTCTCTCTGCTGGGGTAGAGAGCGTGTGTTGTTAGAACACGCTTGTGCTCTGCCCATTGCAGCTCAGATGAGCATGTATGATACGCAGGCATACATGTATGATTTCATGTATCATTGTGCCTCTTGGCAGGATCGGAGGTGCCATTCCCACTGTATTCTCCTACTTTGCGGAAGTGCTAGCCCGAGAGAAGAGGGGTGAGCATCTCAGCTGGCTCTGCATGTTCTGGATGATTGGTGGCATCTATGCATCTGCCATGGCCTGGGCCATCATCCCGCACTACGGTAAGAGACTGGCCTTGTGACAGACAAGCGCTCACGTGATTTTCCTTCCTCCTTTCCCTCCATCCCTGCCCTCTAGTATAAATGCTGGTTGGAGACAACACTGTCATCACCTTACTTCTCCCTTTCATAATGTCTAGGGCATCTTCTCCCCTGGACAGAGCTCTACAATGGTCCTTTAAAAATACGATTGTATTTTGCTGTTTTAAAAAGATCACTTTGTTTCCTATGCACTGTCTGTTCTGAGGTCCCTGCCCAAGTGTAAGTGGGAAGACACACAGATCATAACTAGCATATAAAACAACAGATTTTCGTGGGAGTTGCCCAACACGGCAGGCATACACAATTATTTGTCCACTCTGGACCCAGTCCAGAGATCAGCCCACCTGACTTCCAGCAGCTCAGAAGTGGGATAGGAGCTGGAAAAATCTTAGCTTGTCACTGACGATCAAATTTCAGATCTTAAGAAATGACGCTCCCTTCCATGCTCCCAGATACCCACTTCTGTTTCTCTGAAGCCCTTCCTGTTCCTCCCACCTCAGAGTACTTAAAAGTTAATGTTTCTAGGCAGCACTTTCCTCCTCAGAAATGAACGGCTTCTGTTGCTTCACCTCTAGTGAAATGCAGAACGGTTAAGAGAATCCAAGAATCAGATTCAATATATAAGAAATGGGAGGGAGGTGTTACATTTATGTGTGAGTGTGTCTGCAATTAGACTGGAGTTCACAAAATAGCAATACTGTATAAATTAAAAACCATATGACTTTAAAAACTTATGCTTTGTTCTATTTAAAGTCAAATCAATGTAAAACTTACTCAGAGATTCACTCTTTGCTCGTTTCCTATTTTTCTGCTTTTGTATTAGAACAGAACAATTTTTCATTCTAAAACATTCTATCAGGGCACAACCTTACATGAGGTTAACTCATTGCTAAAACCAAAGGCAAGACATAGACTTTAATACCCAGAAGTATTATAATTTGTTCTACCATATTGAGTTACAAAGATCATGTTGTCATATTCCTTTTATAAACCTAAGAGTTTACCTGCAAAGCAAAATTGTATTTTGGCAGCAACAAAAACAAGCATAGATAAGGAATTGATTATTTGGGTCTGAAGAGAACTTTCCTTACCCAAATATTTAAGTTGAGTTGAAGGTACTAAAAGCTTCTCATATTTACAATCTGGTGTCTTCTGGATCCATTAACACATATTCACCACCTGAGCTTTTAAAGGACCTGAGCGCCTCAGTCACCTTCCTCTGGAGGACAACATCTGACTGTCCCTATGAGCTCACTGTTCTCAACAGAAAAGTCACTCCACTGCCATCTTTGAGCAGCCTCTTGGGAACTATGTATAATGAGACCAAGAAGATTCAGAATCTGGGCCTTCCCAGCTTTCCCCATCATTTGTCCAGATCCACTGCTGGTCCCTGTGCAGCCTTTGTGCAAATTACAATAAAGTGTCTGATACAGGGGGACACAACAGCAGCTCCAGTGGCCTTCCCTACTGGTGACACCCGCAGGGCACAACTTGGCACCATCCCTCAGCAATGTTCTGCGCCTCATGGCATGCCAGCACAGTTCCTGGGCAGTGCTTCTTGCCACCCGTAAACCCTGCGATACCCTCTTGTCATCCCTTCCCGCTATTGCTGGATTCATCCAGACTACAGTGCTTTCCAGCTCCTGTGGTTTAGAATCACACTTCAGAAGTACCTTTGCCATCTGGCTAGCTCTTCTTTTCAATGACACCCCTTTTAACTTTACTAACAATAAATTACGCATGAAGAGTCCATGTGCTTTTCCTGCAGCCTCTGAAAAACATTTGTTTTCCCTTTGAAATTCTGCATTTTGTAAATGATACTGCATCCCAAAACAAGAGAAGCGTATATGTGCTTGTCCTCCACACTCTTCCATGAGAAGACCTTGGAGTACCACTCCATCTCACCCCCTACCCCCTCACACACACAATGTATATTGAGTTTTCACCCCACAGAAGAAGAATTCTGGCATGATAAAGTGACTCAGAGTCAGACACTGGCTCTTTTCCTTCTCTGGTAATAGGATTTGCTCTGAAGGGAAGGAATCAATAATTGGCATCCACAAGGCAAGTAATTCAAACAACCAATGATGCACATAATCATGGTGGAAGAAGCTGTTCCTGGGTGTCATCTTTCTGTATTAGTTGGCAGAGTGGTCCGTCACAAAGCTGAGCCTGATGTCAGAATTTGAATTCTGGTTTTAAATAAGTTTCTGAGGGCAAATAGAACTTGAGCTACTCCCAAAGGATGCTGGAAGGATACTTGTGGGAGAAAGGGTGTTTGGACTATCCCTGGGGTTGGCAATTTAAAACTGGTCTGTGGCTGAAGTCCCCGATAGACAGTGGACCCACCTGGCCTGCAAAGGCCTAGTTTCTGTGCCAGTATTGGATAATGATGGTTCTTTACTTTCACATCACTATTGTAGGGCAGAAAGTTTCACTGCAGACAGACAGTTGGTCTCCAGCATCTGAAGACTCCTATCATAAGTTTTACCTCATAGTACCTGACAAGGCCTTCAGAGGGAGAGTGCCTGGATGTCATTGAGCCAGGCACCTTTCCTGCCAGCCACCCCTAGGTGACATCTCCTTCAATCAGGAGCTTGGAGCTAACAATAAAGCATGAAGGAAGAGTCCATGTGCTTTTCCTAAAGCCTCTGAAAAAAATTTGTTTTCCCTTTGAAATTCTGCATTTTGCAAATGATACTGCATCCCAAAGCAAGAAAATTGTATATGTGCTCTGTCCTCCTGTGGCAAAGAGTCATCTCCACAGCCAACCAAGAAGGAAATGCCCTTGCCTCAAAAATGGGATCCTGCCTCAGCTGAGACCAGGGGTTCAGCAAGCGTAGCTCTACCTGGAACCCACACCTATTGTCAAGTCCAGGATTTCTGACCTTCCGTGGGGGGGCAGGAGAGCCAGCACCCATGGGAGAGCAACAGATAGCTGAGGTGGTACAAAGGTCCTCCTTTCAGCCGTCCTCCCCCCCCACGCCCCTTCGTAATCAGGACATCTCGACATTTAATGGAAGTGCCTTAAGAGGAAAATGAGAACAGGGGCTGAGTCACAGGAACTTCCCTCCTTGGCTGAGAGCTTTCATTTAGGCCCAGGCTTTGGAGTGCTGGGGGATTGCAGCTCTGTCCGCTCCATTAAACACTCTGTCGTCATTTTCTCTGTTAAATTCGCCTTCGCCTCAGAGGAGGTGTTGTCCCCTGCCGAGGTGCATGACAGTGTGCAACAAGGACATTCAATTAGCTAAGTGGGAAATTCTTATTTCAGCACGAAATGCCTCAGCTCTTAAAATCCGCAGCATGCGGGGCTGAACTCAGCTAGCGCCAGCTCTTCTACCTCTGGCAGCCCGCCCTTCGCTGCAGACCTCACAGAGCCCAACAGGGGGCGCCCGTGCTGCCCAAGCCCCCTCCCCTGGCCCCTCCTCCACAATGAGGTGTCTGGGCTTCAAAATTGTACACTCTCCAGCTTGTCTGAATTATCAACGTGTCTCTACTTCCTTTAGTTATAGATGTATGATGCTAATACATTTTTTCCTCCCTAGTTGCGAACCAGGGGTGAAGGAAGAGGATAGTGGATAACTGTTGAAGAGGAAACAGGGAAAGCTCAGTATATTTCGTTAGCGCTGTGGCCAAGGAAAAAGGGAGGAAGGGTCAGTTGATTTTGAGTATTAGTCCCTGGTGCTAATGGCTATTGTGAGCTTTGTCAGGCTTTTCAGTCTCCCCCAGCAGTTCCCTATATGATGGGGGTTAAGTTTAGTCATGGGTGGTGATCCTGTTAGAACACTAGTGTGTAATTAAGTGCTGGCAAATGGTAGCTATTACTGCAGCAGGTTCATCTCCTAATTCAGACACCCAGGCTGTGAACTCCGCCTACTGTGAGCACAGTGCAAGAGAATAAGAAGGAGGGCAGGCTAAAATTCCGTGCAAACCTCTGTTGGAGGGAGATTTCCCGGTTCCTCAGACCATGGTTGACAAGACCCCTAAATTCTCCTCAAAGCTAATGTGGATGCTAGCCTTCTAGCAGACAAGATCTTCCAGGAATCCTCAACAACGTGATTTCCAAAAGAGATATAGACATCTCAAGCCACAATAAATAACACTAGGAAAGTCGTTTTCATTTACGGTAAATATAGGTGCCTTGTTCAGGGACTGTGGATGCCAGAGTTTGCCTTGAGAACAAAAAATTAATACATTTTCTAATATTAAAAGAAAAAAACCTTTTAAAATTAATGACCACACTGCCAGCTTTCTTGGGTCTCCACAGAGTAGACAGCAGTTCATGGGACATCTCAACCTCCATAATGATGTGAGCCAATTTCTTATAATAACTGTCTTTATATTTGTCTACCTGCTTACCTACCTACCTACTTGTTTATTTCGAAGGAACCTGCTAGCTTTTGGTAAACAGGTAGATAGAACATGTATATCTTAGCTGTTTTGTTTTTCTGGAGAATCCTGACTAATACATAATAGAATTACCCCCACTCCCACTTTCTGGTAGAACTCTTTATCTTAAATTCTTTTCCATATCTGCTAACATACACACAAACAATGCAATAAGCCCCTCTAATAATACTCTATCCTTACATTATTCCCTTTCATGTGGCCTCTCTTTTGTTGTGGTGAATCTAACTTGCATTGGAAAAAAATAATAAAATAAAAAGTGGTAAAAGCAAATTACTATGATGATGCAGAGAAACTGCATGTCTCATGCATTGCTGATAGTAACACAAAATTGTGCAGTTTGTTAAAAAAACAAGTTGGCACTAAATATACATATACAAGCATTTATCCCAAGAAGTGAAAATGTCCACCCAAAAACTTGATTACTTATGACTACTCATAATAACACCTTCATTTGTAATAGTGCCCCCCCACCTGGGACCAACCAAAGAGTCCTACAATATCATAAAATGCTACTCAGAAATAAAAGGATGTAAACAATTGATAAAATAGCA